TTCTCCAAACTTCTTTCTAAAAAGGTCGTATTAGCTTGCATTCCCACTGGCAGAAGCATTCCCTTCTCTCCGCATCCACACCAGCATCTGTAGTTTTGGGATTTTGTGATCTAATCTTACTGGAGTTAGATGATATCTCAAAGTGATTTTGATTTGCATTTCTCTGATGATTAAGGATGAGCATTTTTTCGTGTGTTTGTAGGCCATGCCCCTGTCTTCATCAGAGAAGTTTCTGTTCAAGTCTCTTGCCCATATAGAAATGGGGTTATTTATTCTTTTCTTATTGATTAGTTTGAGTTCTCCATAGATTCTAGTTATCAGACCTTTGTTGAAGCATAACCTGCAAAAATCTTCTCCCATTCTGAAGGTTGTCTGTTTGCTTTACTTACTGTGCTCTTGGCTATGCAAAAGCCTTTTAGTTTGATCAGATCTCAGTAATGTATTTTTGGTGTTGCTTCAATTGCCTGGGGGGAACAGGGGGTCATCCGCATAAAATATTCTCCCAGGCCAATTTCTTCAAGTGTTTTTCCTGCACTCTCTTCTACTCTTCTAGTATTTTTATAGCTTCATGTCTTAAGTTTAAATCTTTTATCCAGTGAGAATCAATTTTTGTTAATGGTGAAAGGTGGGGGTTCCAGTTTCAGTCTTCTACGGGCCAGCAACCAGTTCACCCAGCACCATTTGTTAACAAGGGAATCTTTCCCCTACTGAATATTTTTGATAGGCTTGTTGCAGATCAAATGGCGATAAGTAGCTGGGTTCATCTCTTGGTTCTCTATTCTGTTCCATAAATCCACCCCTCTGTTTTTGTGCCAGTACCATGCGGTTTTGATCACTATAGATTTATAGGATAGCCTGAAATCTGGTAATGTGATACCTCCTGATTTGTTCTTACTTCTGAGTAATGTATTTGCTATTCAGGGTTTTTTCTGATTCCATATAAAATGAAGTACTATTTTTTCAAGTTCTTTAAAGTATGACAATGGTACTTTAAAGGGACTGTATTAAATATGTAGATTCCTTTGGGTAGTATAGACATTTTAGCAAAGTTGATTCTTTCCAGCCATGAATATGGTATGTTTTTACATTCATTAACATCTTCAGGTATTTCTTTTCTCAGAGTTTCATAGTTCTCCTCATACAGATCTTTCACGTCCTTTGTTAGGTAAATTCTCAGATATTTCATCTTTTTTGGCACTATTGTAAAAGGAATAGAGTCCTTGATTGTTTTTTCAGCTTGACTATTGTTGGCGTATATAAAACCTATTGACTTGTAAGTAATGATCTTGTATGCTGAAATGCTACTATATTCCTTGATCACTTCTAAGAGCTTTGAAGTTGAGTCCCTGGGATTTTCCAGGTATAGGATTATACCATCAGAGAAGAGTCAGAGTTTGATCTCCTCTGACCCTATTTGGATACCCTTGATCACCTTCTCTAGCCTGATTGCGATGGCTAAGACTTCCATTACTATGTTGAATAGCAGGGGAGACAGCGGGCATTCTTGCCTTGTTCCTGATCTGAGTGGAAATGTTTTCAATTTTATACCATTCAATATGATATTGGCTGAGGGTTTGCTGTAGATGGCCTCTATTAGTTTAAGAAATGTCTCTTCTATGCCTATTTTCTTAAGAATTCTGATCATGAAGGGATGCTGGATATTATCAAAGGCTTTTTCTGCATCAATTGAGAGAATCATATGATCTTTGTTTTTTACTTTATTGATGTGATGTATATTTATAGATTTTTGTATGTTGAACCAACCCTGTAACCCTGGAATAAAATCAACGTAATCATGGTGTATAATTTCTTTGATGTGTTGTTCAATTTTGTTTGCTAAGATCTTACTGAACATTTTTGCATTGGTATTCATTAATGATATTGGTCTATAATTTTCTTTCTTTGTTGGATCCTTTCCTGGTTTGGGTATCAGAGTGATATTTGCTTCATAGAATGTGTTGGGAAGTATTCCTTCTTTTTCTATGCTTTGGAAAGGGTTGTTAATATAGGCACTAGTTCCTCTTGAAATGTTTGATAGAATTCGTCATGCTTCCAGGTATTGGTCCATTTCCTTCAGATTTTCATATTTCTGGGAATAGAGATTTTTGTAGTAATCATTGAGGATTTTTTGAATTTCTAAAGTGTGCTATTTCTCCTTTATCGTTTCTGATAGACAATATTAGAGATTTTACTTTTCTCTTTCTGCTTAGATTGGCCAAAGGTTTATCAATTTTGTTAATCTTTTCAAAAAACCAACTTTTTGTTTCCTTGATGTTCTGAATGATTCTTTTGTTTTCAACTTTATTTAATTCTGCCATAATTTTGGTTATTTTTTTTCTTCTGCTGGATTTCGGGTTAGAATGTTCTTCCTTTTCCAGTTGCATGAGGTGACCCATCAAGTTTTGGCCTCCTCTCTTTCTGTTTTCTTGATGAAGGCTTCTAATGCTATACATTTCCCTCTTAGGACTGCCTTTGTAGTATCCCACAGGTTTTGATAATTTGTGTCTTTGTTATCATTTTGTTCTGAAAGTTTGGTGATTTCCTTCTTAATCTCGTCTTTGACCCAGCTATCATTCAGCCTAAGATTATTTAGTTTCCATGACTTTGTTTAAGTATGAAGATTCCTGTTGCTGTTGAGTTCAACTTTTATTCCATGGTGGTCCAAGAAGGTACAAGGAATAATTTCTACACTTTTAAATTTGCTGAGGTTAGACTTGTGTCCTAGGATATGATCTATTTTGGAGGATGACCTGTGGGCTGATGAGAAGAATGTATTCAGTTTTATTAGGGTAAAATGTTCTGCAGAGGTCTGTAAAGTCCATTTGTTCTAGGGTCAGGTTTAAGTCTAATATTTCTTTGTTTAGTTTCTTCTTGGAGGATCTATCCAAAACTGTCAAAGGGGTGTTAAAATCTCCAACTATTATAGTGCAGGAAAATATCAAGTTGTTCATATCCATGAGGGTCTGCTTTATGAATTGGGGAGCATTCTGGTAGGGTGCATAAATGTTAACTATCGAAATCTCTCCATGTTGGGTGTTTCCCTTTACAAATACATTGTGACCTTCCTTGACTTTATCTTTGTTGGTTTAAAGCCAATTGTATCTGCTACTAATATTGCAACCCCTGCTTTTTTCTGGTTTTCATTCGCCTGTATTATACAAGTCCATCCCTTCACCCTGAGTCTATTTTTATCCTTTAAGGTAAGGTGAAACTCCTATATACAGCAAATATCTGGTTTGAGTTTATGTATCCAGGCAGCCAGCCCGTGCCTCTTTAGAGGACAATTTAAACCATTCACATTAATTGAGAGAATTGGTAAGCCTGATTATGTTTTGGGTATCATGATTTTCCAACGTCTGGTGGATATTTTTAGTCCTTTCACCACTGTGGAAGATGGGTTTTGTTCAAAAATTTCTGGGTGAGTTTACTTTGGAGGTAGAGCATTGCACTGGTTGTTGAGGAGGATGGGTCTGACAATATCCTGGAGAGCTGGCTTAGTTATGGCAAATTTCTTCAACATGTCTATGTCATTAAAGTATTTGATTTCTCTATCACAAATGAAACTCAGTTTAGCTGGATAGAGGAGACTGTGCTGGAAGTTGTTTTGTTTTAGGAGATTGAAGGTTGATGACCATCTTCTAGCTTGAAATGTTTTGGCTTAGAGATCTGCAGTCATTCTGATATTTCTCCCTTTGTAGGTGATGCTTTTCTTAGGTCTGGCTGCTTGCAGGATTTTCTCCTTTGTCTTGACTTTGGCAAAGTTAATCACAATATGTCTAGGAGATGCTTTATTTATATTGAGTTTTGCCGGGGTTCTGAAACTGTCTGCTATCTGAAGTTCTGTATCTCTTGCAGTACTTGGGAAATTCTCCTCCAAAATCTCTTGGAGTAGAACATCTGTACCTTTAAGACCATCCTCTTCTCCTTCAGGAATTCCTATAAAACATATGATCTGGCTTGGCGCCTGTGGCTCAAGCGGCTAGGGAGGCAGCCACATACACCTAAGGTGGCAGGTTCAAATCCAGCCCTGGGCCTGCCAAACAACTATGATGGCTGCAACCAAAAAATAGCCAGGCGTTGTGGTGGGCGCCTGTGGTCCCAGCTACTTGGGAGGCAGAGGCAGGAGACTTGCTTGAGCCCAGGAGTTGGAGGTTGCTGTAAGCTGTGATGCCATGGCACTCTACCCAGGGGGACAGCTTGAGGCTCTATCTCAAAACAAAAACATTTGATCTTTTGGAGTGATCCCACAGCTCTCTCAGGGAATGATCAGGTTTTGCTCTTCATTTGTCTGCCTCTTTGAGTGTTTGGGAACATTCAAAAGCTTTGTCTTCAGTTTCAGAGACCCTTTCTTCTGCCTGGTCAACTCTATTACTGAGGGATTCTACTGTATTTTGGAGCTCCTCAACTAACTTTTTTGTTTCCTTAAGTTCTGCTATCTCTTTTCTCATTATGTCCATATCTTTGGTGACTTGGGCTTTAAATTCATTAATTTCTTGAGACAACTTTAGAACTACTCTTTGGAATTCAATTTCTATCTTTTCTTCCATTCTATTTATCTTATCTGTAATCCATATTCTGAATTTGATTTCTGATATTGCTGCCATTTGTCTATGCATAGCATCTTCAATTGTATCTCCTTTGTCATTTCTTGGGGGGTGGGGTTGATCTACTCTGGTTATTCATGTTGCCAGAGTTCTTATGTTGGGTCTGCGCCATGTTAATTTTCTACCATTTGGTTATGAGAACAGTAGGGTGAGACTGAATTGGGGTTCCCAGGTGGTAGAGAGAGCCCCTTACCAAAGTGCTAGGCTTTGTAATTGTGGCTTATCTCCTACAACCTTACAAAGGCCCCTTTCAGAGTTTCAGCCAGAGACTCCGAGGACCTACTTGGTGAGATAGCTGGCAGACATTTTAGCAAAGAAAAACACCTGAAGACTTTGTGGTCAGAGTCTGAGCACCAGAACCAGCCATCCTCCTCATTGCCCAGGCAGTGAGCCTACCTGACCGGAAGCGCTCATCACGAGAGTTGGTGAGTCGAGACTTCTGCTGTTTGGGGGCAGTAGCCGTGGTCTGTGAAGGCACAGGGGTTCCATTCTCCGCTTGCAGAGATGAGTCTCTCCCTAAACACAATTACATGAGAACACTTGTGTAAACAATTTGCTTTTCCAATTATGAAAAACTCCATTTAAAAAAGCACACATTTCGTATCTATCACCACAAAGCACATATGCTACTAAACCTGCACAGAAGTCTTTACCCTGCAAGTTGGTGGTGGATGTGTGAATGCTGGGGGTAACCGGTAAGCTCCACTCCTACAGCCTCCTCTCCTCCACAACCCTGGAGGGTCAAGGGTAACAACCCTGCTACTATCCCACTCTCCTAATGTAAGCCTTGGGCCTCTCAGTATCAGGCTCTTCACAGAAAGCCCTTTCATTGTGGTTTCCCAAATCACTTGAGGGCCACCAGTAGTCATCTGACACAAACAGAAAAGGTAGAAAGGTGAGAAAGAGCAGCAAGAGGATGTAACGTGATCCAAGATAGGCTTTTCACGTTGCTGCCATCCTACTTCCCCCAGAGTCTGCGATGACAGCGGGACAACCAGCAGTGCCTGCTCTCCACACTCCACCTGTAGGCCCTTACTCTCACACAGGAGGACCCTGATGACAAATGATGCACTGGGGCACACATAGGCAGGTTCACTAAGCAAAATGCCTGGCATCAATGAAGTCTTAACTCACTGACGTTTGCTAATAGCACATTACAAAACCTGTTATCCCGCAACAAAAATAGTCTTTCACCGCAGCCTTTGTTGTTTCAAACATCCCAAAAAATGGCCCATAGAGACTCCAGTCCCACTGCTCCTCCAACCCTTTCCACTTCCTAAAAAAAGGTGGAACCTACCCTTCCTCAAACCCCCAGAAGTCAGCAACTGCTCCACAGGCCCATATAGTTGAAGAGGCACTCATGAGTGGCTTCTGGGGCTAGTCAGTAAAGAAGGCACAGCCCGACCTAGTTCTACAGCAACACATGCCATGCCCAGAGGCTAGGTAGGGCCCACACTAGAGGACCCATGCTGGCAGAGGGAACCTCATCCCGAGTGGGGAGCCAGGCAGTTAGCTATAGGCTCTTCCCATCTCATCGCCACACTGTGGCTAAGGACCCTCATGGGACAGTACCCTGAACTCAAGTATCTGGTGGTGACCCCGGCTCACTAGACAAGTTAACATTTACACTGGGCCTGAAGGGCAGGGTTGTGAGCAAAACAGATGCTACACACATCTCAGGGTGGATAGTTGGGCAGCATTAAAGGAACTACCTACCTACCTCTCCAGAAATCAAAGATTAGCCCTCCAAAACAAGAGCACACACATATATCTGCACATGTGCAAGGACATGCACACATATATGTACATAAACACACATATGACAATACTGAGCAGTATTCCTACTGGCTTTTTGCTTTTTATGATAGGATAAGACTACTTTATAGTCCATAATGGAGAATACACAGTCTTATGCATTATGGATTA